TTCTCTATCAAGTCGTATGCCCGCAGATAGATAGTACCTTCCACACATTAATCACAATGCCAAGCAACGCAGACTTCTGGAGAGAATAGAATACAAGGGTTTATTTCGATTTTCTTAATGTAAGACATTAAGTCCAGTGATTTAGACCCTGACGCACCAATGATAACAGATGGCGGGTGGGGGCGCAATAGTGGCCTGAATACCCTATGTACACGAATCGAACCTGTATCCTACACGGAACCGTCATATAACCTGACGTGCTATACCATTTTATCTACAGAGGAAGCGTCCCTCTAGCATGTCAGGCTATATGACGGTACCGTGTAGGATACAGGTTCGATTCCTGTCAATGGACACATATTTTCTATGAAAATTTCTCGGCCATTCAGACCGATAAATATGGTTAATACTGTTTATTATAAACAGAGAATTTACTTAAATATTTGTATCTATAAAAATAACGTATAAACAGAAAATATATTAACTAATTGTCGGACTTAATCCATTTCATATATATACATATAAGTAGTCATGTACAGACAGACTGTGTCCCTGTATGACATCTCATAGACGTCCGATTGTTTCCAGCCGGGCTCGAAACCCGACTAATTTGATACCAGTGAGTAATGCTTAATAGCACTAAGAGCTGCTGTTTTTAAAACCCCTTTCTTTCGAGAGCCCAGCCGGATTTCTAGGAGTGTATATATATATATATATATATATATATATGTGTGTGTGTGTGTGTGTGTGTGTGTGTGTGTGTGCGCGCGCGCGCGCGTGTGTGTGTATGAGAGAGGAGCATATTTTATATATATATATATATATATATATATATATATATATATGTTTATATGTTTGTATGTATATATGCACATATATATATATATAACTATATATATATATGTATATATACATATATATATGTGAGCATATATATATGTCAGTATATATATATATATATGTAAGTCTGTGTGTGTGAGAGAGAGAGAGCATATATATATATGTATGTATGTATATATGCACACCTATATATGTGACTATATATAGATATATATATATATACATATGTGTGTGAGCATATATATATGTGAGTATATATATATATATATATATATATATGTGTGTGTGTGTGTGTGTAAGTGTGCGTGTGTGAGTATTTGTGTTCACTACTTGACACTTGCTTTCATTTCTTCCTTAAAATTCAGGAAAGTATTTTTATCTTCTTTCTGTTGACATTTTACATATTTTCTTTAGTTCGATGACTTCGAATAAGTAGAAAACAAAAAAAAAAATATTGCTTAATTAGAAATCTATCCAAAAGTGTTTGTACTGCAATGCTTTGTAGTTTAAAGGAGAAAGATCAGAATTTCCAATATCTTTTCCCCTTCATTTCTTCAAGTATTCTCATGAAATACGTCTGTGGATTCGAACTAATCGTCTATCTAACACGTTCGATGTGTCTATTATGCAAACAGAATTTTTAAAATTCCAAAGAAAAGTGTTATTGCGAGAGTTAAATTAATTTCCTTATTCAATACCTTTGCTAGGCTAATTTATATTGTATTCAGATAGATCCATTTTAAATATCACTGTTGACCTAATACTAGGCCCAAGAGCCACTCAGTATTGAGAGTTACAGAATGATATTGTTGTAAAGGCGTAAAAGGAAAAGAAAGATGTGCATATGATGAGGAAATGTAAGATAGGTTGAACATAACTTGAAAATTCGGAGTAATATTATACATATATATATATGTGTGTGTGTGTGTGTGTGTGTGTGTGTGTGTGTGTGTGTGTGTGTGTAGAAAATAGGAAAGAACTCGTTAGGTAAACAATCCGAAGTTCTTTAGTATTTTTGTTTTTATTTTTAAAAAACAGTGCTCGATACACAAGTAGAGCCTAAATATAATTATCTATTTAAAAATATATAAAATAAATATAATTATTTATTTAAAAAATATATAAAAATCATATTTTTAAATAAATATATATATATATAATTATTTATTTAAAATATGATTTTTATATATTTTTAAATAAATAATTATATTAAAAGTTAAAAGTAACAAATACGTTGGTATATAATCCAAGTGGGTCCTGGTAATATAAAATATTAAAAATTGATCCACAAAAAAAGCTCAATGTATTTACTATTACAGAGCAAATAATTAATAAGTAATAAAATCCAAAATCCCCTCATATGAGGAATTGCCTATTTCAATGTGGACTGAGTTCCAGTTAGAAATAGAAATTTAACTGTGAAAGCTAAATAAAAAAAAAAAGAAATAGTGGAAAAACTAATACAGAATTTATCCATAGAAATATTTGTCAGACGAAACGGATGAGGACAGGCGTCAGGGAAGAGTGGAGGGTATTCGTCTTAAAGAGAAGAAATTTTTATAAAATTAAACCCGATTATTAACCTTATGGCATTAATTTGGGTTTATATGAAGAATGAAATATTAATTTAAAATTAAAAGAATACTAAAACATGGTTTAAAATAACTTTAAAATATATAGATAAACGGATGGAAGGGATTAATGGAAAAAGAGTTGGGCAGATCTTAGAGGAGGAGAAAGTTTATGAATTATAATTAATATAGATAAAGAGGTTATAGAGGGGGGGATATAATATTTTTAATTTCATTAATATAATGAATTTTTCATTTTTTTTTTTTGTATATTGCTGCATAATGGCATGGTATACAAGCATTGTATGGCTTATAAAATACTCCAAATTTGTCATATTCATGGAAGTCAGAACTCAATATCAGGGACTGAGCGTTTCTTTGCAGTGGACATAGATATTAATCGGCATTATATATAAATATATATATATAAATGCTTCCCCCCCTTGTTGTTGAGTTTTTTTTATTATTTAATATTGTTTTAATATGTCTTGTAATATTAAATTTTACACTTTTTTATTTCGATCATTAAATTTTGAACCTACAAAATATTTAAATATATATATATATATATATATATATATATATATATATATATATATACTACAGTCAAAATGTTTGAGGTTACTCTGTATTTCTTAAAAAACCAAAACACCTTCAAATGAGATTAATTTTTGTGTATTTCTAAAATAGAAGATAACATTTTAGTAACTCCGGTGTTTTTGCTTTTATTTTTCAGTCTTTCTTCAGGCTCCTCTTACAATCAAAATGTTCATATTTGGTCGTTTTATTGACGAAAAGAAAATATGATGTTGTTGTGTGGTAATTTTTTAAAGTTAAGTGCTTATTATTGGCAAATACACAGAAGTTACCGAAATTTTGGACTTTTGATTAAAAAATACAAAAATACCTCATTTTAAGTTGTTTCTTTTAGAGAAAGTCAGAGAGACCACAAACATTTTGTGTTTTTATTTTATTTTATAATTTTTATACACACACACACACATATATATATATATATATATATATATATACTTTCTTTTAATATATATATATATATATATATATATATATATATATGCTTTCTTTTGAGTACATATATATATATATATTTTTTTTTTATATATATATATATATATATATATATATATATATATCTTTTGAATATACCTTCTTTTTTGAATTTTTAGGTCTGATGATTTGAACCGTGGTTACGATTCAAATGTAATAAATTCTAAACATGGAATATTAGTGTTTCAGCCTTTTATATTATATTCTTACTCTATCCTGGAGATTGAGTTCTACCTAGATTCTATTCTCTTGGGAATATATATATATATATATATATATATATATATATATATATATATATATATATATATATATTGATCGCTAATATATGTGTGTGTGTGCGTGTGCGTGCAAAAATTTCAGATAGCGTATATCGGTAAAGGCGCAATATGAATATAGATGCTTTCCTTTTGTCTATATATATATATATATATATATATATGCGTGTGTGTGTGAGAGAGAGAGTGCAGTTTGTTTAAATCTAAGAAATAGACATCAATAATTATTAATGTTTATTTTTTTAATTAAATTTTAAGAATAAAGAATTAAAGAAACAATATTTAAAGGAATTACAAATCGAATTTCATCTTTAAAACATTTTAAAATACAGTCATGGCCTCATAAAGTTTCTATGTGTTCTGTAGTGGATTTCAGTGAAATTTATCGAAAATCGCCTGTACCAACTTTGGAAATTTATTGGGACATATGCAATGAGTATGGTTATATTATGGAATGAGTATGCTTATATTATGGAATGAGTATGCTTATATTAAAGAAATATTCATTTTGTCTGTTTGGCTGACATACATACACAACCCAGTGGACATTATAGAAATGTTTGAAGTTCGCCTCCATTGATGTAGAAGAAATCGACTTGCTCCAGAATATATATTCTGCTTGATGAACCCTTTGCAAGAATAAAGGCAACCGTGACTTCAAGATTCGATAAACGCAACGAACTGTCCTTCTAAGCTGAGCGTAAGAGACACGCTGAGTTAACGATGCCATTGCCACGGGAGCATTTGACCAAATGTCACTTAATTCATTACTGAGCGAAATAAGCCAGATAATCGACTGTCGAATTTCCGTTCATGTATCGGGAATAACCTTTGGTCTTCAAAACAATCAAGTAACAGTTTTGAGATTGCATATGTCCGATACCATATAGTGTCCATCTTGTCTGTTGAAAGAAGAAAGGATAAAGATGGATATATTTTATGTTAGTGGTAACGATAAGTTTTGTAAAATATACGGTGCTGTTTGGTGGATAAAAGGGTTTCGCTGATGATATGGAAATGGGTTGGTTTAGCAAAGGATCTAAGTAAAGATATTAGTAATATTAAGTAATATTAATAATATTAAGTGAATATTGTTATTTGTAAAAGCTGCCCAACTTTCTGGTGCAGATATTCATGCCTCAATAAAAAGCATTGAATGATTTCTAGTGTGTCAGTCTTACACGTTATTTTAATGTCCTTCATAAAAATACATGCGCGTAACTTAATATACATGTCCAAAGGTATGAATTTATCTTCTTCTTCTTCTTCTTCTTCTTCTTCTTCTTCTTCTTCTTCTTCTGCTGCTGCTGCTGCTGCTACTGATGCTGCAGCTGCTGATGATGATACTGCATCTTCTGATTTTTATCTTTTGTTGTGTTTCTTCTTCTTCTTCTGTTGCTGCTGCTGCTACTGATGTTGATGATGATAATGCTCCATCTTCTGATTTTCATCTTCTTCTTCTTCTTCTTCTGTTGCTGCTGCTGCTGGTGATAATGATGAGGATAATGCCCCATCTTCTTATTTTCATCTTTCATTGCTTTTTTTCTTCTGCTGCTGCAGCTGCTGCTGCTAATACTGCTGCTACTCCATCTGATTTTCATCTTCTGTTGCTTCTCCTTCTTCTGCTGCTGCTACTGCTGATAATGATGATGATAAACGCCCATCTTCTTATTTTCATCTTCCATTGCTTCTTTTTCTTCTTCTTCCGCTGCAGCTGCTTCTACTGCAGCTCCTCTTTCTTCGTCTTCTTATGCTGCTGCTGCTTTCTACTGCAGCTCCTCTTTCTTCGTCTTCTTATGCTGCTGCTGCTTTACTGCAGCTCCTCTTTCTTCGTCTTCTTATGCTGCTGCTGCTTCTACTGCAGCTCCTCTTTCTTCGTCTTCTTATGCTGCTGCTGCTTCTACTGCAGCTCCTCTTTCTTCGTCTTCTTATGCTGCTGCTGCTTCTACTGCAGCTCCTCTTTCTTCGTCTTCTTATGCTGCTGCTGCTTCTACTGCAGCTCCTCTTTCTTCGTCTTCTTATGCTGCTGCTGCTTCTACTGCAGCTCCTCTTTCTTCGTCTTCTTATGCTGCTGCTGCTTCTGCTGCTTATTCTTCTTTCTCTGTCGCTGATGCTTTTCCCCCCTCTTCTTCTTCTTCTTCTTCTTCTATGTACCGTGTTCATTGAGTACGTGATCTCTTACGAAGTTACAAATCATCCTGACGCTGAGTTCGAGCCTAATGCCTTTACTCAACTACTGATCGCACCAGAATAAGCGCTCACTCCCCCAAAATGTAAATAAGGCCCGCTCTGAATAGCTACATGGTTGTGCGGGTATTGTAGAAACGCACATGTGTCTGAGCAGGTGTCTTCGACAGGGATTAACTACCCACCCTAGCAGACGCAAAACGAGCAACAATAACGATTTGTTTATATTCCTAGTTTAGAAAGGCAATATATTGATCCACTGTGTCGTGCCAGAAGTTTTTTTTTTTTCTCATCAGAGTCCATCTTGCACATTTACAAATCTACCATTCGTCTGTGCATTGAATACTGCTGCCATATCTGGTCTGTTGCTTCTGCTATTCATATCAAGGTTCTTGACAAAATCCAAAGAAGGATCTGCAATGTAATCGATCCTGATTTGGCATCTCGGCTTCAGTCACTTTCTCATAGACGTGACGTGCCTTCCCTCTGTCTTTTCTACAAATATTTTCATGGCACCTGCTCTGACGTGCTTTTTTTCCTGATGCTCTGACTACATGAATTTAAGCGTGCTACTAGATTGGCATTTAGGTCCCACTCTTTTACTGTTGGAATAGTGAAATGTAACCGTCACTTCTACTCCAACAGTTTCGTTTCTCGCACTTCCCAACAGACAAACTGCCTTCCACTTGTTCGCTTCCCTGATAACTACAATTTTCAATAATTTAAATACAACATCAATCGCTATCATCTGTTGCCTTGATCCCGGTTCATCTATTATTCAATCCCACTTATAACCTTTTCTCTCACTTTCACTGTCTGTAACCCTCCTGCATACTAATGAAACTCCTGCCTTGCTTCGGGCGAAATGCTAATAAAAATATCTGTGGCCCCAAGCTGTCTACTTTGGTTGATTTTTAATGAATAAACATCATTAGAAATATTAAGCAGTTGATATCAATATTGATCTTCTCTTTCGTGTTTTCCCGATATTCTGACACCAATGGATTCATGTTTTTAGTTTATAAACACGATAGAAACGAAGGTTGTTGTTTTTTTTTTGTGTGTGTGTGTGTGTTTTTTTTTTACCAGAATTATTAAACTGTCTTTACTGTCTGCTTCTTAATTTGTTCTCGACCGTGTTCTTTCTTTCGTTTTTATTGGCCGTGATACGAGCATTGAAGATTCTTAGTCAATATGCGATTCATATTTGTATGCTTCTCATTTAACCGCAGGACTTGCGGTCATACCGGTTCTCCTACGATCACCGAAGTTAAGCAACTTTGTGCCTAGATGGGTAACAGCTTAAGAATACCAAGTGTTGTAAGCTAGGATGTGCGAGTAGTGTAAATAGATAAACGTTCGGCATTGGAAACTGGAGAACCGAGTTCGAACTTCAGTTGGGTTCATTATACATGTTGTGGCCTTGTTAAGGCCAGAAATAAAGACACAAGGAAAGGAATTGAGTTAAACAAATATATTAACAGAAACAGTAATACAAATAAAAGTGTTACAGCAAGAATGTTCGGTCCGACTGTCAGAGCTGACTGCTGGAAACTTCCATCTCCAAAAGGCAGTTCCCGTTCCTATTTATAGCCGGGAGAGTCCATGCATGCATGGGTAAATTACCATAACAATACACTTACCCGCAAATCCCCTTGTGAAAGGTATGAATACATCGCTTCTTCCCATCTTTGGGTTAATTATTAGAACTTGTATCAGCAAAAACTATCATACAAAAATTCTTACAATCTAAAAATATTTTCTGGCTTTAAATAACCGGCAAAGGGTTGACAAGTCGTAAAAAATAACAAATCAATCAATCTAAACCCACATTTTTTAAATAAATATTCCCAATCAACATTCATAACGCAATCTTACTCACCATCGTACTTAGTTTGATTGATTCGTAATTTACGGGTTATCAACCCATTGCAAGTTATTTAATGCTGGAACATATTTTTAGATTGTAAGATTTTTTGAGATAATAACGATTTCGTGACAGGAGTCTTACTAATTAACCTATAGTTGGGGAGATGTGGATTCATACCTTTCCAAAGAGTATTTGCGCGTAACTGAACATAACGAACCCGACTGGAACTGGAACTCGGCTCACCAATCAACAATTCCTACCTATTTTCTATTGCACCACACGCACATCCAAGCTTACAGCACCTGGTATTCCCAAGAGGTCACCCATCTATGTATTGAGAAGACTCGACGTTACTTAACTTCGGTGACTGCAATTAAACCAGTGTTTCAATGTCTTGTGGCCGTAAGACACTTATACCACTCGCACATTCAAACTAACAGAACCTGATATTTCCAAGTGGTCAGGCATTCAGGTACTGACCAGGCTTGACGTTGCTTAACTTCGGTGATCGTACAGGAATCTGTGTTTCAGCGTGATCTGGTCGTAAGACCTTTTGACCGCACGGACATCAAAGCTTACAACCCCTAGTATTTCCAAGCTGTCACCCATCTAGAAACTGACAAGTTTCTACGTTGCTTAACTTCAGGGATCTTACGGGAACGGTGTTTTCAACGTGATGTTTTCGACGTTGCTTTAGAACTCCTGCACACCGAAGCTAACAACACCTGGTATTTCCATTTCGTTACTGACCAGGCTTGACGTTGCTTAACTTCGAGGATCGCGCAGGAAGGGGTGTTTCAGCTTGATCTGGTCGTAAAATCTTTTGACCGCTTATACAACACCTCAGTCAGATATGTGCCACGCGTGATACACGCTTCGGCGATCATGTATCTTTTGATATATGACTGACGAGGCAGATTTTTTTCCCGCAGTAAGTTGCCATTTAGTTCTGCGGTAGACCAGTTGCCAACCAAGGCTTTGAAACCCGGTCTGTCCTGCTATTTACTCATAGCTGGGGGAGAAGAGGATTCATACCTTACCCAAGGATATTAACACGTAAGTGATTGTAATGGATTTGACTGGAATTCGAACTCGGCTCTTCGATTACTCAATCCAAACCGCTTACAACACCTAGTATCCCCAAGTGGTCACCCATCTAAAAACTGACAAGAATCTACGTTGCTTAACTTCAGGGATCTTACGGTAACCGGTGTTTTCAACGTGATGTTTTCGACGTTGCTTTAGACCAAGGATGGCCAACCTGTGGCGCATGCGCCACTTATGGCCATCCTTGGATTAAATTAATCATACAAAATATTGGCGCATGGAATCAAAAGTTTGGCCACCCCTGCTTTAGACCATCCTCACATCCAAGCTATAGCACCTGGTATTCCGAAGCGGTCACCCATTTAGGTTCTGACCAGACTCGACGTTGCTTAACTTCAGGCATTGTGTTTCAACGTGACGTGACCGCAAGCCTCCATTGTAGTTCAGCTTTCGACTCAGAGAAAATATATGCAAAGAACCCCCCTTCTCATTTTTCCTTACTGCTTCTCTCTTTTCGACTTCATTCCTATATATAGAGTGTTCGCCCCCCTTCATAATCTACATTTGTCCTCCATGTAGTCGTACCACAGTAGAAACACATTCGTCTCTTTCGCTTATTCAAGCACACAAACATACCTACATAGAAATGATGAGATAGTTTATTGATTTATAGATTTTATGAAGGTTTCCCAAAATAGGAACTCTCTATTAATGTCCGGATATATTTTGATTAGCTCTCGCGTCTAAACGTTAAAATAGATGACTGGTTGGAAGCTCGATTTGGACATCGCTTGAAGCAGACGTCACGAATGATTTCTTTGGCAATATTATTACATTACTTAAACTATGAGATTGAAACGCGGTAGGAATTGGACACTAATTTTTCATTTTATTTTTTTATTCTTTGTGTATATTTATAATTTTGAAATTCTCCTATCAAAAGTCTTTGAATTAAAACATCTATTTGATGTTTATTATAGAAAAAAAAAAAAAGATTATTTTAATTATTCATATATGATTTATCTGGACTGCTGCTCCTGCTACATATTTAGAAATTCTTGATAAAATCCAAGGAATCTGCAGTGTTATTAGTCCTGATCAGGCATCTCGGCTTCAGTGACTTTCCCTGTGCCTTTTTTCTATAAATACTTTCATGATAATTGTTCTTATGATATTTCCTCTATGGTACTTAGACTTTATAAATTTGAACGCAGTACTCGATTGGCAGAAAGGTCTCACTATTTTACTGTTGAAATGGTTAGATGTCACCCTAAGTTTTATGCTAACAGTTTCTTCTATTGCATTTATCGCTTGTGGAACTTTCTTCTGGTTTCTTGCTTCCTCGTAAAATTTGATCTATAAAAGTTTAAATGCAATGTCAATCGTTATCTTCTGTTTTCTTAATCCATGTACTTTTATTGGTCTCACTCCTTAATAGTAGTTTTTCTCGTATTCTCTAACACTCAGTAAGCCCTTGAAGGTAAGAGAAGCGGCAAAAACCTATTCGTTCCATTTTCATATTCTTTAGCAAGGGATGAAGGACACACAGTCATATTCTCCACTTCGTCTTCGGCTTTTACTCGGAAGAGATTTCTCAGTAGAGTGGAGTTGCTTCTGAATATTGTTCTGATGTTGTATGAACCGCAGATCTTAAGAATATTTTCCGAATAGCCCTTGACGTAAGGTAGACAGACCACAGCAGTTTTCTGGTCCTCCACTATGAAACCTTCAGTGCCTGCCTGCAGCAACTGATGTTATGATTGCAGGGTAGTTGTTATTCTGAAGGGTACGTTCGATGTTGATGATTTCTTGTTGGAATGTGTCTGGGTTTCCACATGAATTTTACATTATGTTGTAGGCATCGCTTTCTTCACTCTGTATATAGATGGTAGTAATTGAAGTTGAGGTATTGTCCGGTGAAGGGATATATATCAACCTATTCTCTGTGTGAGTTATTAGTACATCCAGGAAGACTTTTTTCATTTGTGAACTGGATTGAAGGTTTTATTGTGTTCATATAGTCCAGTAGTATTTGTACAGCTTCCAGGTGAGGTTAGAGTATGAAGGTTTCATCTACGTATATCAGCCACACTGTTGAATTCAGTGAGTTATTTGAAGTATTCCACGCATATGTTTGCCATCACAGGTGACAACGGTGAACTCATAGCCAAGCCTTCCTTCTGTTGGTATATGTCAGATTGTAGCTGGAAGAATGCTGTCTGCGAACAGAACGAACACCCTTAGTATTCCAGTGGGAAGAATGAAATTCCACTCGAACAGCTCCCCAGCTTGTTTTCCTAAACACAACCTCTGAGATCGACGATATTTAGCTTTTGGAAGATATTTTTCGCTATTCTGATATACCTTCAGATTTCTCGTCACACTTTCCATTGTCTGTTATAGATAGTTAAATTGCCTGATTTCGTCCACTGTCTGCTATCGACACTGTCATCTGGCTGTATACGATGGGATACTGAAAAGTTCTTGCCCCAACTAGCTGATGCCCTCTTCCCCAAATTAATATTATTTTGATCAAATATTAAGAAGTAGGTTGTTTTGAGAACCTTTCAGCACTCCTCATTTCTTTTAATCATATCAACCAAGCAAGGCAATAAAGCCACTAAAACGCAAGAGTGCTAGCGATATGAGAAAAAAACACTATTAAGGAGAGAGAATAATAATAGAACAAGAATCAAGAAAACAAAAGATAACGATTGACATCACGTTTAAATTTTTATAGATCAAGGGCTATTCGGAAAATATTCTTAAGATCTGCGGTTCATACAACATCAGAACAATATTCAGAAGCAACTCCACTCTACTGAGAAATCTCTTCCGAGTAAAAGCCGAAGACGAAGTGGAGAATATGACTGTGTGTCCTTCATCCCTTGCTAAAGAATATGAAAATGGAACGAATAGGTTTTTGCCGCTTCTCTTACCTTCAAGGTGCCTTTTGACCGTTAAATTCTCCAAGCCTATTTTCCTCTTTATGAGTTCCAAAATATTCATCTCTATCTTTCTAATTTTCGTTTTGCCAACATCCAGGGCATCCTCAACTTATATATCTTACATTATTTCAATAAAATTACCAAGCCGAACATTCTTTTATTATTCTCTCTTCTAGGGGTGGGTGGAGAATAACTAGAGAACTAGTCAAGGTCAGCAACTTTATGACACTTCACAAATAGTAAAAATCCACAACATTTAGTCATTATAAACATATGAAAATGTTTGTGCAATCTTAAAACACTTATCACTTCTGAGCGATATATTTCAATTGCTTATTGTTATTATTAAATTATTTTTTATTAATTACAACAAAGTTCTGTAATTATTAACCCTAGAACACTAACCATCAATTAAAATTACACCACTACTAATCATGGGTATATCATATCCGATCAAAAAAAATATTAAATATAAATCTTTATTTGAAATATTTTACATGCAGGCACTTCAAACTTTGTACTTTGAGTAAACATTAATAGGAACTGAAAAAGCATTATTTAGGTAAGAAAATCAGGTACTGAAAATTTTAATTAAAAATAGGAAAATTTGCGGTGGGTACTATATACCCATGGTTAGTGTTCAAGGGTTAACAAAAATGTTCTGCGGATCAAAGGCACGGTGGAGTAATGGATAGCGGCTCGGATTGAGGAATTGGAGAGCCGAGTTCAAATTCCAGTCGCAATTCATTACACTCACTTATGTGCTAATACCCTTAGGAAAGATATGAATCGTCGTCTTCTTCTCCCCTATGGGAGATCCATACCCTTCCATGGGAAGAAGAGGGTTCATATCTTTCCTTTTACTTCTATGGGTAAATAGCAGGGCAGACCGGGTTCTATAGCCTTGTATGGCAACTGGTCTACCGCAGAAAGAAATGGCAACCTACTGCGGGGAAAATCTGCCTCGTCAGTCATGTATCCGAAAGATACATGATCGCCCAAGCGTGTATCACACATGGCACATAACTGAATGATAGCAGATTAGACATTTCATTGTAGTCCAGTACTATTTCCTTTATGTTTTAGTACAGTTTTCGAATCTTTAATCTTATGCTAAGTTTTATTTAAGTGCACCTTTGTCTATATGTACACGCCTTAAGATTTCTATGTCACGTTTTATTCATTTCTTACTTTAATATCGAAATGATTAAATATCTGCACCTGTTTTGTGTTGTCTACAACCGTACATTTTATCTGCTAGCAGTTGATTGTCTTCTTGTTAGTTGATTGATTGGTTGCTGGATGCTTGGTCTGTCAATGTCCGCATTGGTTATGCCAGCCCGACTGGCACTGTCCTCTTCCTCCGGTTTGGGAGTTGAGATCATTTAGATTTTCTTTGCCTATTCCGCTGTTGGTGTCTTCGGGGTCTGGTCGCGTTCAGTCCTCGAACTTACCACCAAAGCTCATCAGGAGTTGGAACTGCACACAATTTCGCTCTTGGGATCAATGGAACACGCAATCCCTACCTCACGAGGAATGACATTTCTGACGCAAGCCAACATCGACCCTGAGATCTGGAAACCGTTGCTGTGAATCGGTCTTCCTGGCATAGGACCATCCGAAGTTGGCGGTGAGACTTTCGGGTGAAACCGTCGACATGAAGAGGATCTGCGATGCGATGTAAGCAGAGCTCGTACCACCCATACGTGTCCCCCATTCACACTCTTCTGTGGCTCCTACTCACGACTCTTCATGGGTAGGCTGGGTCTTCACAACTATCTCCGCCACTGGTGGGATGAATAGGGGAAAAGCTGATGATCCCAATGCTCGGATGCGAGCGAGCGCCGACCTTGGCGAGTGTTCTTGTTTAAACAGCTACCATGTCTAATTGTTGTTTTTATCTGAATTTTTCATCAGAACTTTGTCGTCTGCGTAGAGCATGTTGTTACTGTGACATCCTCTGATAATAAATCCTGGCAGATCGTTTAATCTCCTTCAGGATTATCTCACTGTATAGATTGAATAAATCAGAAAGACAACGCATCTTTATTTTGCTCTTTTATGTTTTTGTGTATTTACTTCACTTGTTCGTTATCTGCTTGCAACCCACTTATTCCCAGTGCAATTTATAGATTATCTAAATATCCTTTCCATGTAGATCAAGGTTTTCTAATAATTCGGAAAGTTCTTTGTGTCGTACTTTATATAAGGTTTTTGTTTAATCGATGACACA